TCAGATTTTTTAAACCCAGTATGGACAGTCCTGTTTCACTAACTAAAAATTCACAAGGTACGTATGAAGAATTATCATCTCTTATTAGCAATTTACAACATCCTCGTATAGGTAGTCTGTGTCCAGTAATCCCCAGTATTGAGACCTCAGTGGGTTTTACCACAACATTAGGATCTAAAGATTTCAAGTTCTTGAATGAAATAATGGACTCTATACTACCTGTGTCCACAATAAAGTCATGAAATGAACCAAGGGATGTATATAATCGCTTTTGAATATGAACATTCCCTTTTGAAGTAGTGGATAAAGATAAATGATCATCAAGAACAGCCGAATTATTGGGATCTAAGTTACCAGACTTAGTAATACTTGAAGCAAAGTGAACAGTAGTTTTGCACACTGACTGAATGTGTCCTATCTTGCCACATTTAAAACATTTAGCATTACGAAATGTACATGAATTACGAAAATGAAATTTGCCACAAGATAAGCATTTACCAAACTTATTCTCACCTTTGTTGTTTGCTTTGCAGTTCCTTGTTAAACCACCTTTCATATTTCCACGGGAATAGCAATCACGATTAAACGAACGCAAATTTGATCGACCCTGAGATTGTAATTCATCATGACGACTAAGCAAAGTATTAGAAATTTTCATCGATTGAATATCAAGTTCATTCACTGCTTCGTAGTTAATACATGCAGTTCTAGCATCTTGAAAAGAACAGTTCGGCATTCTTAACAGCTCCTTTTCCAGACCTGGTATGTTAATTCCAGCAATTAACCGATCTCTCAACTGTACATGAAGCTGATCACCAAAATTGCATTTGGCAGCTTGTCTTTGCAATTCAAGGATGAAGTCTTTAACCTTCTGGTTATCCTGACGAATCATCTTATGAAATTTTGCTCTCTCACGACACTCAAAACTGGTGCACTTCACATGGTTTAATAGTAATTCCTTGAGAGTTGTATATGGGAGTGAAATCGGCTTATCTGGATATGCCAAGGTTTTTAATAAACTGTAGGCTTCTTGACCGATGAATGTAAGAAAATGTGCCACAATTTTGTCACCCTTCATATCTTTCTTGGTCATGCTCCATATCTCAAACCTTTCAAGGTAATCCTCACAAGCTTCAGAAGTTGAATGAATGTCCAACTGTTGTATCGCAGGCTCCATCGCGACGCCAATATGATAATTAGAAGTATTTGAATTGTAGTATGAACTAGTAATCCCAGGAATAACGCAATTTAATCAAGAAGTACCAGATGAACTCGAACGAATGTATTGTATTTGGAATTCAAAATTACAACAGTCATCAATACGAAGAAGTCATTGATTTATTTAAACATCACAAATTTATACTAATATGAAGTTTCACTCGGTATCCTATTGCATAAATTTGCATGTATTTACCCAAGTGAACTGGAAAAAAATTAATGGATTACTTCAGAGGTCAATATTATAATACTTGAACCCTCTCACTAGGTGTTCAGCTTTTCTCTTAGAATTTTCTTTCACTCTCTTCCTTCTAAATAAATATTATTCAAAGGTATTCAAAGTTTGTAATGAAGACAATTTCTTGTATTATACTCAAATTAACTTCCCAGATTCGTTTCATCTTCAGTACGTATATGTGACTCATACATATTGATATTTGATTATCCTCTGCATCTAATTGAGACTTTCTTTGCATCGCTCCAAACCATTACCACGTAAACACTCATTCTACCATCATCTATTACTTCGGTAATAAATTGTATTCTTGTTTGTTTATTTGTAATCTTTTCCGTCTTCTCTTGTTGTTATTCATTTGGCGATACATACATAGTCGTTTATTCTTGTTCTGTGTTCACAAACATGCTTATAAAGCTATTTACGTACTTCGCTTTTCCTTCATTTCTATTCCCTTATTTTCTCCATTTCCTTCAAAATAAGCTCGATAATCTTCTCAATTACACAGAACCTAAAGTACTCTTCTCCTATTACCACTATTTTCCTTCTTCTCTTCTTTCTTTTTATTCAAATGTAGTAAACGTTATGCTGACCATTGAAACTTGGGTATTATTGCATTTCTGAAGAAACCCGAAGTGTTTTTTTCATAACACTTATGTACCCATAAGATATTTGTCAATAGTAATAAGGAATTGATTCTTACCAAAGTGGGCGGAAAAGTGTAGGAATATATTAGTTATAGATAAGGCAATGGGTAACGAAATAAAATTGACGTTAAGTCAACATAATGTACATGAGAGTAGAAAGCTAATGAAAAATAGGCAAGAAGGAACTTACATTAACTTGGTGCTGATGTTACTTTGTGCTGTCCTAACCGGTTGATGAGTTACAGGCTCCATAGACTAAAGACCACTGTTAGAAGGCAAAGTATCTTGAGGTTCTCTCAACAACTTTATAGGGTAGTAATGAACATTCCTTCACGACCGACCGTAGTTGAGCAGTGAGTTACTTGTCGTATTCAAGTAAAAATCATATCTAATACAACTGCAAAAAAGTAAAGGATACTATATTATTATTATTATTATTATTATTATTATTGTTATTATTCACAAACACCTTATGGGTACATAAGTGCTGTGAAGAAACCATTTCAGGTTTCTTCAAAAATGTAATACTACACAATCTTCAATAATGTTGGCATTACATATGCCATATTTGAGAAAGGAAGGAAAAGGAAAACAAAATATTATTCATAGAATAGTAATAATAATAGTAATAAATCAGATTCTGCGTAATTGGCAAGAATTTTGAACTGATTTTGAAGAAGGAAAGAAAGAAACTAAGGAAATAGAAATAAAGGAGTCGCGGAATACGTGAATATCTTAACGCAGAACAAGAATAAACAACTATGTATGTATAGCAAAAAAGTTGGCTACGGTCCATACAAGTAGAGGGCCTATTATGCCTGAGTCGGACGAAGATGTGTTATAGAGTGCTAGATCAGTACAAGTGAGGGCTTCGTCAAGAAGTCTTACAAACGTATGTGGTCTATCTGTCACACGTTTTTCAGTGAGAAGACCGTTCCATATTAACGCATACTGGACGAGAAAGAAGTTCTCCGAGTTCTCGATCCACATTTTTTAAATTATTGACCTAATTCTCACTATGAAACATGGGCACAAGTTTTTTTTATTCATATAACAACAAGTACACCTGTCATCACACTAAAAATTTGTACTTCTTAGTCATTATGTTTACGTAATCTATACCAATGAAGAGAACACGATTGGTATAACAGAAACAATTATTAAAACCAATTGTACCGGTGATTGTTTTACTGTACCTGTTAGTTCAAGTGTATCAAAAAAGACAGTCTTCCGTTGGTTTTGTGACCTTGCACAAACTCATACGTTCAGTAGTCTCGCTTGTAAACTACTGGAACGATATCGGTATTGTTTCCATACCACGAGATCGCCAAAAAATACATCTTACTACAACCTTCAATCGCCTTCTCATATTTGGCCCTCGGAGGGACCTAACCTAGTAACTGTCCCGAGGTTTACCTGTAGTGATGATCATAATCAACTGCGACTCGACGCCTACTACAACTGAACCATAAACCGCCTTGCTTGGTTCAATAGTTTCGTACATGCATATAAATATTACCGTATATTAGAATAAAGCCTGATGAAGATCCGGTCAAAAATAGTATTAAGAATAGTTTGGATATGGTGCAATGCTATTTCATTGACAATAATCAAAAAATTAGTCTACAACAGTTAACGTGCGTAAGATTTTCATTCACAGTTTACTACTTCAATGTCTAAAGTTATCTAGTCACCCAGACCGATACCAGGAAATAGTTCACTAAAATAAATGGTGTTGCATACATTCTTGTTAGTTATTACGTCTAATGGTATGTCTGAGGGATTTCCCAGCACCTAGAAAGTTATACGATCCATACTGCTGGTTGCTGATAGAGAACAAACACAGGACTGGTTATAAACTTATATTAACCAGCAAATGTGAGTAAATTGTCGGTGATAAACGTCAAACAGAGCCAGAACATCGTGTATTGTATTTCAATCACAAAATTTCTGTTCGGAATAATTTGTTTTCAAAGCATGCAACGCAGAATGTTCGACCAACGATAAAGAAAGAATAAATAAATCATTCATGAGCAGCTGATAAGTCAACAAAGGGATTTTTATATATAGCACAGATGAGTTGATAGATAAGTAGACAAGCAAGCAAACACCAGGATACTGGCATATATGGGTGGTGTAGCTGCATAACAAATCACTATTCATCACATCAGAATGAATTTAAAATGATTTACAGTACTGAAACAATCATTTCCTAATGACACGAGTTGACAGTAATGGTGTGAGATACCTACAATCTCAACATGAAACTTAGGTAGTTCTTTTCATATATGGTCGGTCGAACGTGAGTCGAGATTAATTAGCTACTAAGTGGTACTAATTTTATCAATGGATTACTCATAGCTGTATCTCACCTCAATAATCATTTTCGTGCGCCTGTCCATTTCCATTCCATTCTCACTACTACTAAAATACATCGTTTCGTTTTTACCGTGGAAATTATCCGAATTATAATTTTGAATTTTTCCGACTAACATACCTTCGCATCAGCTCAGTTATTACAAATACTGTTTATTAACCAGGTTACTAAGATTCTCTTCAATTACATAGTTTTTTGAAAAGACATACTAAGTTTAGTTACCCGATAATTATTTGTTGATGTGAGTTTGTTTAGCTGGACAACTCATTCTCGACCCTTAACTTTTCATGTGAGTTTCTTCCACCTTAGAAATGCAAAACCGAGTGGGAAAATATTATTTTATTCATATCATTTTCAAACCTCGATACCAGATATTGAGTGCGTAAACTGAAAGATGTACATAGATTTGAATTTATTGTCCTTAAGCAATCGCATGTCTCTAAAATTTTAAATTTCTAGAACGTATTATCGGGTTGAGCTTAGTATCACAATCAACGACCTTGTGTTTTTATGCACTCAAGGTCTCATCTATCACGTGCGCCAGGGTCACGAGGCGTAGGCCATGGCAACGGAGTGGTTATTTATGTGTTTTGTACCCGTTTGGGCATAATATTCATCATAACTGTCCCTAAAAATCATAAACATTCTTCCTAACTATTAATTCGTTGTTTTGAATGCTTTGATGCCATCGAAAATCAGGATTGTTTTGGAGGGATACGCGCGGTATCGTGATGGTAAGAAGGTAAGTAAGAAACCAGCTGTACTAAAATTGATTTTTGATGGATCCTTAACGAGTTTTTTTGTTTTGTTCTAGTGGAAGAAGCGGTACTGCGTGTTGTCACTCTCACCAACGACACCCGGTGAGTTCATAATTATCATTCAAATGTTTCACGATTTAATTCGAATTTATAGAAGAAATTAAGTTATTTCTCTAGTACTTTGTCATAATTGTAGTTTCCCATACCATCAAACGTCCCATGTGTGTTGTATTCTCAAGTTGATAGTCACTACTTATCTAAGATAGTACCACGACCTCACTACTCGCTTTATCTCACCTATCATTAAGTAAACGGTAATCTAACGTGCTAGCCTACATCAGTAAACACTTTTCCACTGACCATAAAACCCAGATCTCGGATAATTCAAGAGTGAGCCTATCAAACTTTGAAAATTATCATAAAGGTCACTTTACCGGTGAGTGCAGTTTAAACAGTATATGTTTTGCAACGACTAGGACGTAAAACTGAGTGGTACAATATCAGATCTCCGGAACACTCTTGGCCGACTAGAATAAGTAGGTTTGCAAGATACGAAGTTTCCTGACGCACATAATGTGTCAGTCTACAAAGTCTTTGGACCCAGGCCAAGTTTGTATGGGATGGAGGGTACAGTCAGTCAGTCAGTCACAACGTAGAACTTCGTACGTACGTATATCAGTTCGAGTTGCCATACTACATTAGCACAGAGGTGCAGTTGTCCATTCAAATCCCATAGTGGTAGAAGTAGTAAGAGTATAAGCAGTAATCGTAAAGATTAAGGTTTGAAGATGTTATTGAAGGAGTATAATCCAATGAAATAAATTTGGAAAGAGAAGAAAAGATAGGGACATGAAGAATTCAGAAGATTAGAATTTGAGAGAACACAAATAGTGGATGCGCCGTTGCCACTGCAAACGATTTTGAGCCATGTCAAACTCGTCAGTTGTGATCCATAGAATACTTGTAATTCATGGTAAAAGATTTGAGGTTACTTAGCTCGAAAACGATCTGTGTCGCATTTGTGTTCATTCTATATTTTCCCCTAAATACTAAATATGGTCTTATTCAGTGGACTATGTTCTCAGATCTGAGTTGTATCTTTTGGACCATATTTTCTGCTTGTTCGCAATTCCATCGTCACTACTATTATGGTCGACTCATGTTTGTCTCTGTTTTTATATTATTTGTGCCCTTCTGTGTAACTCCATCCAACCAACCAACTCGTTTTACGTGTATTGTTATCAAATGAAAATACTTATTACATTTGTGGTTCATCCCAACGACTTGCTTAATCTAGCTAATCACTCGTAATTGACAGTATTCATGAGTTTAATTCTAGCCCACAACTCAAAGCCACATTTGGTTACTAAATCACGGCAACTGTTTCTTAAATTCGCATGTTAAAAGCGTTAGTTAAATCAATTTAAGCTCATTTTTTAACTCATTTTAGCTTTGTGAGTACTAACTGCAGTTTGCTGGTGGCCTAGTGATGAAGCCACTCGATATTCAGTTTGGTCTAAACTTTGAATGCTTGGTATATTCAGAACGTACGGCAAACTGCCATCTAAGTTGTTAGTTTTGAGTTATATTCTTCAGAAATGTCTTTTTTAGACTTCGTTATAGGTATATTTTCAGCAATAACAGATTAATCTTTTCAGGGGATTTACTCCTCGACTCAGAAGATGCAATTGAAATAGTCCTGTTTGATACAGACTCCGATAATGAAAAATTCTGGTCGCCTTGAGCAACAATTCAAGGATAATTGGGGTGTGTTTTTCCCCTAAATCTATAATGTTGCTTTAAGGCTGGCCTACACCGTATATGTTGATTATCAGGGGTGATGTAGTCGAGTATGTCGACTACTTTACTCATCTTGGAAATCTCACTAACCCTGATGATTTTCAGTTTGACAAGATCTCGGTACGGATACAGGGAACTCGCTTCGGTTTTGCTAGCCTCTTTCACCCCCCCACGAGTATACTGCACAGCCGCTTGCTATACATTACTGTCTGGGAAACATGGTATACGTAAGTAGGAGACACACGTAGGACTCCTAATAAGTGTCTTCCAAGCACTGCTCGATTAGATTTGGATCACGAATTAAGCTATTCTGAGATTAAATAAAGGATACTAGGCAAGGATAACAATTCAGTTGGTAGGATTTTAAATCTTCATCAATTGAGGTGGTTAAAAATACATCCCACAACCACCATCTACTTCGACGCGTGATGTTAGTTGGTGTTGTAATTAAGTTGGCGCAGACAAACTAGAACGTGGTATCAGTCCATGAAGTTATTTACCGCTAATCTGAGTTATGTTGGTAGGTGTAGACTTCCTGATCGGTGTTGGGTTCGATTATCGTTACCAACATCTCAATCGAGACGTTGGGTGATATGGTTCAGAACTGGTCCCTGGAGTAGATCCATCCTTTTCCCATCTTACCTTAGATCCTGAGTTGTAGACTTATTTTGTGTTATTATTTTCTACCATTGATGATACTACTGCTTTAATATTCACCTGTTTAATTTCATTCCGCTGAGCTTATGCTATGTGTTAACTTGATCATATGGAGATTTGTGCTAGACTGTATATTGATAATGAAACGAAATGTTTAAACTCAGTTTCATCGACTTTGGTTTCAAAGGCTTGGTGGTTTGTAAAACCTGTGTTTAAAAGCTAAGTGAATAAACCTGTATGTGGTGTGTCATATATCATCTAAATAATGAGCGCGCTATTACTTCGTCTAGTCCCGAGATTATTTGGCAATTTTTTGGTTTGATAGCTAATACATCTGAAAGGTTCATCAAAATACTTTTTACCATTATTTATTTATTTATTTGAACATTAATATTGGTACAAGGGGGCACCAGATACATATACGCCACACAACAACAATGTGTTGTTGAGACGCACACAAAAATAATGGCCCCCAAATGCCCTGGTACGGCCGAGAGTGGGGAGAGTCCGCTCTCCCTCTCGAAATGCTCTCACATTGCCACGCGAATATATAGCCTCTGCCAGGGAAGTCCTACTCACTACCTTCTCACACCAGGGGCGTTGTTTACGAAAATGAGAGGACAAAAAGTGAATGTCCGGCGCTTAAACCGGGTTGGTGAACACGGATGGTCCACCTAGGGGAGTTTAGAAAACCCTCATTCCAAACCAATGGTGCACATGAGCTCCAGTATCCTGACGGAACAAATGGCGTATTAATTAATCGTTGGTCATCGGCTACCATGGGACTGCATCTCCTCATGATGTTCCACTGCCTTGTGGATTAGATCTTTAGGTGAAAGGCTCGGGGTGTGGCCCCCTAAGAAAACCATCTGCTTTAGTCTGGGCACCTAGGCAGTATCACAGCCCTCACACAAATCAAATGAGATTTGTGTGGCGCATATTTATCTGGTGCTTCCATGTACCAATATTTGTGTTTAAATAAATAAATAAAAACAACAATAATGAAAAGAGTGTAAATTGCGTATAAAGGAAAAGAGAACAATAACAACCACAAATTAGTGCATGGTAGTGAAAAAATAATAGTAATGGGCGAAACAGAAAGGCAAAACCAGAAAGAATTCTTTCAGTCAAAGAAGTTACGACCTTTTTCTATGAGGAAAGTAAAAACAGTTTACGGTAGGATCACCACTGGCTTCTATTCTTAGCCATATCTGTTAACATCTCCAGCCACTGTGTTGTACCATCTCTAGGACCCCAACCAGAGAGTCTCGAAGGTCTGACAGAAGCCAGTCCTGTGCAACTTTCTTTTATACCACGACACCATGTCATATACTGACCACCTCTCGGCCTTCTCCAACAAGTCCCAGCATCGGCAAATAATGCACAACGAGAAATTCTCTGGGACGATGTTCGTGGAACATGTCCAAGCCACCGAAGTTGATGTTTCAAAATAATGACACCAATTGGATTATCGTCTCTGCTCTCGAACACACGATGCCGAACCTTTGCATTACTAACATGGTGTTGCCACTGGACGTCAGCAATCTTTCGGAGACGATGATCAAGCACAGAGTCGTCTAACATCCTCAACTGAGAGAGGCCAGGTTTCACAAGCATAGAGCGAGACTGCTCTCACCGACACGTTGTAGATCCGGTCTTTAAGAGCCAGACTAACATCACGAAAGCTCCGAAGGTGGCCATGATTGGCATAAGCTGCTCTGACTTTCACTATACGCGAATTGATCTCATCACTCCCACCACCACAAGCGCTTGTGCAGCTACCTGGACATACGAACTTCTCGACTGCTGTATGCTCACCACTCATGGTGAGTACAAGATCAGGGTCCTGCCAGTCTTGCTTCGGTATTACTGACTGTTGCCAATAAATGCGAGTAGTTGAGCAACAACAATAATCGTTATGATTGCAATGGATGTAGACATCCTCATACTAAACTGTTAAAGTGGTATAAACGTAGGGTAAGACTTGATACTAAAGCTCAAGTCTGTTGGAGATTTCGACAAGACCTATCAGATTTCGAAAAAGTGTGAAAACTTTTTGAATATGTTGCTCCCACTTCATAATAAGCCACAAATTAGTCTAAATAGTCTAATCAGTCTAAATAGCTTGTTATTTCAAATAAAACAATATCTTTCAATATAATTGAACTGTACCTCGCGCTACCGAATAGCCATAAACAGCAAAGTTTTAGTAACCTGAAATGAAACAAATAGTTTAGAATCTTTCACGATAACCTTAGTAAGTTCCCAATGGCAATATACACATGATCAGTGTAAGTGTAACCAGTGTCCACATATGTAAAATAGGCAGCGATTTCTTCGAATGCTTTTAATTGTCCTCTAAGTGACACACATGTTTGACACAAATAGTCATCCTCGCACCTTTGGTTTCACTAAACAATGAAGAATGTCAGGAGTTGTGCTTTTCATAATATGTTTACATATACGCCTTACTCATATAAAACCTTAAAACTTATGTATCTCTTCGATCTTTAGTCAAGTTTCTTCAGCCAATAGTTGGGCACAGACTTATCGTTGTATAGGTCCAGGGCACTATTATATAGGGCTATAGTAAGAACATATTCAAACTATCCAGTTTTCACCATATTTGTGAGTTTTGCAATCGTTTCGTTTTCACTGACATCCCTTGTTTAATGGTCGTCTCCAATAAATCGTAGATAACTGGCTAAAGGTTACTAAATATTCCATGTACTCAACAACAGATCTGTGTCCATAAAGTCGAATTTCACGTGTACAGTACTTCCCTTTTGAGGTCGTAGAAATGTTACTCTTGCTTTGCCAATACGTGCCTCGATATCTGCATCAAATCATCTGTGCTTATCGATGATGCTGCTCAGGCACGTGAAACGTTCCACTTCTTCACATCAAGTGTGAATTAGATAGTACTTTCGGTTTTGTGTCTAAGGATTTTGCTTTTTCTCTTTTGAATATCGAGGTCAACTTCTGTTGAGGACGCTCCTCATAGCTGTTTTTGCCTTTGCTATTATGTATACAATAGCAGAGCACAATCATCTGCAAAGTCCATTTAATCTAGATGCGTGTTATTTTATTTTATTTTATTTAAACACATAAATATTGGTACATGGAAGCACCAGATAAATATGCGCCACACAAATCTCATTTGATTTGTGTGAGGGCTGTGATACTGCCTAGGTGCCCAGACTAAAGCAGATGGTTTTCTTAGGGGGCCACACCCCGAGCCTTTCACCTAAAGATCTAATCCACAAGGCAGTGGAACATCATGAGGAGATGCAGTCCCATGGTAGCCGATGACCAACGATTAATTAATACGCCATTTGTTCCGTCAGGATACTGGAGCTCATGTGCACCATTGGTTTGGAATGAGGGTTTTCTAAACTCCCCTAGGTGGACCATCCGTGTTCACCAACCCGGTTTAAGCGCCGGACATTCACTTTTTGTCCTCTCATTTTCGTAAACAACGCCCCTGGTGTGAGAAGGTAGTGAGTAGGACTTCCCTGGCAGAGGCTATATATTCGCGTGGCAATGTGAGAGCATTTCGAGAGGGAGAGCGGACTCTCCCCACTCTCGGCCGTACCAGGGCATTTGGGGGGCATGTAAGGTGTTCACTGTGCTCTGTCCTTTTCATGAGTTTTGTATGTCTCTATGTTCCAGTCAACAGCGAACAGAAAAATGAAAGGCGAAAACAGCTGGTCTTCTTTAACACCAATCTTCACTTAGAATGTATCTGTTAACTGCCTTACATATATGAGTTTTCTACTTTGTCCCTTGTAAGAGTCCTGCATAATGGTGATGATCTTTTTAAGCACTCTATAGTATCGATAATTTCACAAGATTTTTCTTTCCATATTATTGAATGCTTTCATAGTCAAAGAAGTTGATGCATACCGATGAGCTTCATTCAAATGATTGTTTAACAATGATTCACACTGTCATAATACTGTCAGTACATCATCAATCCAACCTATTACTTGAAAATCAGGAGCTTTATCCACTAACACACCTATCTACCAAAGAAATATAACGGCGTATAAAACTATCTCTAAAACAAAATCACTTGTTTTCTTTTGTACAAAAGTCTTCAGGTCTGACAGTTGTAAAGATGTACATACACGATTTTCTATTATCTGTAGTAATATAAGTCTTCTCTCTTTACTATCAACATCAATCCAATTAGTCTGAACAACACATATTATCTTCGTGACTCATTTTTATGAATACATATATTTTAAGCAACCAGAAATCGGCTTTCGGTTATACCTTTTTGCTAACCTTCACCCTGTCATCACGTGTGTGTCTCAAGGTCATTCTAAGGTGAACTCTGGTCTATATTATGGTCGAATTATGCTTTGTAAAGGAATATCGTTCAAAAAATTAAAATAATGTTTTTACTGAAGCTTTTACGGAATATCACTTATATGGAATCAATTTGTCTGGAATAGTTTTTTTTCTTCTGCTCTCTTATTATTTCATTTCAAAAGCTTCTAAGTGGTTTTTGCTATTCAAAGATAAGATAAAAGTTCCGGCATAACAAACGTTTAACATTCTACTCCCAGTTCAGATAATGATCTATTCTGTTCTATCCATATTTTTTCATTTAGATGATAAAAATCGATACTAGTTATCAATGTATTACAGTTGCTAATTGTCTTTATCCCTGTTATTATCCCTACATCGCCTTTTTCTTGACTGTAATAACAATTCAGAATGGGCGGGTTGTGGCTAACAGGGAAATTCAATATACGTATTTCGTCCTGTTTGGTACGTGTTGCCTAGATATATCGGCGTCCCATTGTTGATGTTCACACCAACAAAGATTGATTAAAATTCAGTCTTCCATACTAACAATGGAATAAATCAAACTCTTGTCATTAGTGATATTATTAATAATAATTGGTTCGTGAATAGTATATAGAAAAGACCCTACCTTATTGTATAATATCAGTCTAACTGAAGCATATTTTGTCAGCTTGTTACGTACATAACCGTCGTGACTATTTTTTCTTATGGAATACAATGACTTACATACTCAGTGTTCTTTATATTTAATCCCATCATAGTTATTTTACTTTTGTAAACCGATTCGTATGCATGTCATGTTTTGGGAAAATTCCATCACATAATTGAAGAGTTATGATTCAAATTGATTTCCAAAAAATACTGCTTATCATCTTAAGTAATTAACTAAAGAAATAGTTTTATACTCAGAAAGTACTCTGTTTTACAGGTTGGATATTTATTCATTCGTTTTTACACTTCATTATATCATAATTAAAAGTTTTAATTATTTTAAGTCCTAAAGTAAACCACTCATCGTCCACAACATTTAACAATAACAGACGATTGTATCCCCCTGTATTGTTGTATCTAAACACCGGATTATACATCCGAATTCATTGCTGCCATTCCAATAATTCATCAACAGTGAGCTTTCAAAATGCATCAAAGTAATTAGCAATCTGATTTTATCTTATTATTCTATCAATTGATCCATATTAGAATGTTTTTTTCTTGGTATTTTACTTTTTAGATGCTTTACATTTATACATCACTAAAAGTTACGACGATTTTGCAGCTTATCGTAATTCAGGTTCAGTGCTTACTGCAATGCTTCCACCTGTTCGCAAATTACATGAATTGCCAATTTCTCCGGAATCCCGGGCTTTACTTAGTGATACTCCCAATATTATACAAAGATCATCTGATCACAATCAAAATACTTTAACTTCTCAATCCTCCACATTAGCTAATTACTGTCCATCGATTACAACTTCTAGTGGTCCACTAATTAATACTGCAGCTCATTCTTATAATAGTGCTTCAGGGAACACTTTATCAGGGCTTGCAACAGCATCAAATTTAGCATCAAGTGTTGGTGGTCCAGCACCTGTGGATGAAATCACAGGTTTTGAAAGTGGATATCATATGGATAAAGAATCAAATATTATAGTCTTAATTGGTGGATCATCTGTGTATGCATTAGCTTTAGCCGGTATGGATGAAATGTTCTGTTGGGCTGATAATTTAGCTCGTATCGTTGTTGGTGAGTTTTATTTCTCAATTTAATACCTTTTTTAAACAACCTCATTTTCTCTTGATTTCAAATGGTTCATTAAAGAAACGTCATTTTACCGAAATCTCATTTAGTCAATTAGTAACAGCTGATTATTCTAACATTTATCTTAAGTAATTAGTGTGTATTTCCTACTTTCATATTTTTGAAAGTTGGTGGTCATCATCAACCGACTGTTTGTGTTATAAATAAATAATGTAGGTATCTCACTAAGATTAAAAAATAGAATCCCTAAATTCTTTAGCGCAATTCTATTCAATGCATTTCATGGAATCCAGTGATCATCAGACTGCGATGTATGTGAAAGTATTGAAGAAATTGGCGATGTAGGAACATGCTCAGTGGTTAATAATAATAACTTTGTGACTAAAGTTACACACTCTACGGCTTGCATATGTTCGAAGTTTGTTTGACCTACTTCGGGTTTAAATAGCCGGATATAGTTTTTACACACAAACATCGTACCACTTAAAATTTGGGCAAATAAATCTGTATGTGCAATCAATAAATGAGTTATAGCCTTTTCTACTTGATAACAAACATATTCGACCTATTCACTTTGAATCAATCTTGTTGATATTTTTTTTTTGCCAAAATTTACGTAGAATTTCCGTAACTAATAATGTGAATGTAATTGACTATAGAATTGTCCTGCTATGATGTGTTGTTATTTGCTTATACATAGCAAATGATATAAAATATTGTTACACCCAAAAACATCAGTGCTCTTTCAAAATGAAATGGAGAAGATTACCAACATCCTCCTAACTTACATTGCTCTTTTCCTAAAGCCTCAAATATCAATGTTGATTGGATTAGAGTTAGAATGTCATTACTGTCTACGTAATCCACTGTATGCGTTACCACCCGAATACTTAATTTCCATAATCAAGTCACTAAAATGTAGAGATAAGCAAGTTTATTAACTCGATTGTTACTTTCGGATTGCTCAACAGACCAGTTAGCATCGTTCAAAAATGGATGGTTTTGTACAGAGAAGTCCCATACTACGACGAAACACCCGTACAGTGCTTCCAGGTTTCCACTGGTGGTCTAACATCGATCAGTTCTTGATTTCAACAATCTCCACAAACCTTTATTGACAATCATTTAATTAAGTTATTTCGGAACATTAATTTCTATAAATTGTTAGCTCACGTATTCCATTACTCCGCATAAATAAACATTTCATGTAAATGGTTTCCTTTACGAATTTGGATAAAGCCAAAATAATAATCGAGGCAGAATAACATGAGTTCATGATACTTTATGCTTTCTCATCAACTGTTTACAACCATGTATGTATTAGAGTGTAACATTAAGATATGATACAATATGAAATAATCGACATTGATGACGGAAGTAACCAGAATAAAGATTATCAGTAATAACTATATATCTATCTATGTGCATATGAAAAGATGTAAGGTCATTTGGAGATGGAATTCAAGAAAATAGGCGGCGGGGATGAGGTAGTAATTAAATAAAGTCAGGAAGTAGGTAAGATAAATTGTATGATAATTATAGAAGTTGTAAAGAGTGAAGTTTTTGATCAATTGAAACTAAATATAGAGCTTAGACAAATGCAGTTGTTATTGTCTCGAATTAGAAATTGAAGGGTTACGTAATAACTAGACATTATTTGAAGAGTTTACATTGATTAAAAGAATTGAGTGATTAAAAAAGGCTGACAAATGAAAGAATGGTTTCGGCGTTCATGAAATGAGAATTCGTTTAACAAAGATCGCACAACAAAAATAAATACTGAATAATCGTAGTTCCAGGTGATATAAGTCAAAGTTGCGAATTTAAAAAGGTTGTAATAAGTTGATTATCGTATGCTTCTACTGTTTCGGTGGATCAATAAGACGCTGTGTTTCTTTATCTACTGATAATTTTTAAGGATTGATAAATGTCAACAATGTGCCCCGTATGAATTAAATGCTGAGCTATTGCATTAGTTAGGGAAGTTGCATCACTCAGTCTCAAATTCTTTAATGCGTGCTCGGAGATGCAGATATGTACTCTTGTCTTTGTTCTTCCGATGTAAGTGTTTTGGCACGTACATGTCAATTGGTAAATGCAGTTGAAGGTATCGAGAAAAGGGGATGTATTGATGTTACACTCTAATACATATATAGTTGTATGTAGCTGATGAAAAGCCACGAAATATAATGAATATATATTATTCTGCCTTGATTGTTGTTTCGGCTTTATTTACATTTATAAACATTGATAGTTGTAAATATTTTCTCATGTTAATTATTTTACCGAAATAAAATACCTTCCAACTAATTTTTCCTTGTTTATTTTGCGATAAAACAAGTTCATAAGTGATTGGTATGTGCTATAATCGATTCTAGGGTTAACAATAGGAATTTTTATTTCAGTAATCATAACCCATCACAACTAATTTGCCAGAATGTATCCCACATATATATTCTTGATATTAGACTGTTAATATTAGTTACTTTATTTAGTACTATAAATTTCGTTACAGTAAAAAAAATGCTTAGCACCAATTATTTATGGTAATAAATTTCTGCCTAACATACGTAATGTATCTTAGATAAGTTTCTCAATAGTGTCAACAATTGTCATTCATCTTGAGTTGCGAAAGTTCTCAATTAATTTAACTACATAATCACTTTTTTTCTTTATTATGCACCAAATCCATTAATTCCAATCCCCATCGCTTTTCGTTTCTTTCAAAGGTAGATAAGAAAAAAGATATTCTATAAAGAAAGAGATTTCGTTCTGAATTTCCCAGTATTTTTCATTATAATAAGTTGTAGGCTTATCATAGGAATATATAAGTACATATGGTTAACATCAAATGAACGAAGTGTGAAATAGGAACGTTCATCTCCGTATTTTCACAGTTGGCAAATAGGTGTCCCAAACGATTAAGCAGGCCTCTTAGTAATTACAATACACATATTTTCAACCAATAACTAATGGGTTGGAACTAAAATTCACCTACTTCTACTTGGATAGCCGTCACTCAATACCCCTCACACATTAAATGTGTTGCATTTGTTTTCTTGATATAAGATTTTGATATTACTACCACCGCTTGATTGACTGTTCCGGTGTATAATTTTCATTATAGCATGACAAAATGTCAGAAATCCAACGTTAGTGATAGGGTTAGCGAGATGGTTATGGGACTCTACTTCTATTGCGTCCCAACTTCGTACTCTGCTTCACCCACTTGGAGTTTATGCAACCGGTTAGTATCACTAATTATTGTGTATATAACGACGTGACTCAAATCTGAGTACATAAACCGTACTCGATGATTAAGTTACAACATAACCTCCAGCATTACATCATATATGAATTATAAAAGGTAGTGTTCAAATACAAAACCTTTGTTCAGTAATTAAGGTATTCAGCTTTCAGCCGCTAATTTACAAGTTTCAAAAAATACCATCTATTTCTCTTTGAAAAACTGGATAGAGTATCATTAGCATCATTGGCACAAATGCATGAAGTCAATGACAAGTGAACTGAGCCATTTTGGTAGATGTAGACTACCTGGTTGGGATCCGCGAGATGATATCAATCTATGGTTAGAGACCTTGAATGACATGACTCAAAATCGTTTGCAATGGCGAAGGTGCATCCACTCTTTGTGTTCTCCCAAATTCTAGTCTTCTGAATTCTTCATGTCTCTATCTTTCTTCTCTTTCCAAATTTATTTCACTGTACTATACTCCATCAATAATTTCTTCAAACTCTAATCTTTCGGATTACTGCTTATACTTTTATCACTTCTACCACTATGGGTTTTGAATTGATATCTGCATTTCTGTGCTAATGTGATATGGCAACTCGAACTGATATACGTACGTACGTACGTACGAAGTTCTACGTTGTGACTGACTGACTGCAGATCATTAGCTCTCACATTTGAAGTATAACTTGACGTTAAATTTATAAATCTGTACCGTGTAAATGAGTGATGTTCAAATGTGTACATATTTCCTAAACTCAAAATAAATTAACTAGTTATAATGTATCAAAGAATATTTTTTTTGTTATCATCATTGAGAATATTTATTATTATTATTATTTAAAATGTACATATGTACATAATTTAACAGAAAAAAATGTTTCATTTTAATGTTGGACAATTTTGATATTGTGCCAAAATGTTTGGTATTTTTCTTATCGGTAAAAACAATCCATACACAATTAACGCGTCATGTTTAAGTGTGCTGTTAGAAAAAAAAAGGAATAGTCTAGTGTTCTATTCTATCTATTTGTATCTTATTACACCAAGAATGCGCATATTAATTAGAGATTATTTACAAATATATATGTGAACTATGTCTGAGCCCTTTTTTTTAAAAAAAAATATATTGTTATTATTTGTCAAGACGGCAAATTACAGCCGTAGCTTAATCGAATTCTGTTTAATTTTAATCACATAATAGGGGTTATTTTTGAATGGAATCATTTATTTTTGATTGAGAAGATCACAATAGTATCACTTTTTTGTCGATCTTCGAATGATAATTATGTAAATTATACTATATTTTGTATGAGTTATTAGTGATACTGCTCTGTTGCCCACATTAGAAAAATAATATTCGAATCTGCTACGTAGTTAAATGTCAAGTACCAAACCACCGACTACCTCGACGCTCGATGTATGTTGGTATATAAGTAAATTGGAAGAAAGCTAAGGGCAGACAAATCAAAACTTGGTATCAGTCTTTGACTGTTAACCTGAGTCATGTTAGTGGGTACTGACCACCTGGTTGGAATATAGTTCATGCAATTATCTTGGACGGTGGTTGAAGAAGTTACCCTACATGATTCAGAATCAGTTGTGATGGTGCAGCCAAATGCATTCACTATGTCATCGCTTTAATCATAAATTTTCAGATTATTTTATATCTTTCTATACAAGTTTCTCTTTTCACTTATCCTATTCTCTCTCTGTAACTTTTCTTACTACT